ACATACACCTATTGCTGGTCCTAAAGTGGAGTTTCTGATGTGATGGCCTGAGCATGTTCATTGTTAACACGTTACTTCCAGGCAGCACACATTGAGAATGAGTGGCTGGATCTACACTTGTTCATTTGATCACATGGACAACTGAAAAATTCTACTCATGGAATAATACTTTTCATTATTTAATTTTTTTTAAATGAATGAACATGTCCTAATGTATAAAAATATAGAGGCCAATATAACTGAAACAACCAGAGGGATGACCAAACAGCAGGCTGTGTGGAGTGACAAGGCTTGGCAGGGGTGTCAGTTGGGGGTGACCAGGCCAGCAGAGGGGGGCAGTTGGTGGTGACCAGGACCATGGAGGGGGGCAGTTAGGGATGATTAGATTGGCAGGGGGGAGAGTTAGGGGTTATCAGGCAGGCAGGCAGGTGATTGGGCCTAAAATGGCAGTTGGACATCCCCTGAGGGGTCCCATATTGGAAAGGGTGCAGAATCCCCCCATGCACAAATTTTGTGCAGTGTGCCTCTAGTATAATTATACTTATGCAGATGCACTGAACAGGATGGAAAGGTATATACCAAACTCTTTAATATTTATCACTGAAAATGGGTGGAAAAGTGAAAGGAAACATTCATGTTAAACATCCTATTGTTAAAATCCTTTACTATACCCACAATTAATTTATTGTTGGTATGATAATATCAAGTGAAAGAGAGAAAGATAGAGAAGGAAGGAAGAGAGGAAGGGAAAGAGGAAGAAAGGAAAGGAGGAAGGAAGGAAGGAAGGAAGGAAGGAAGGAAGGAAGGAAGGAAGGAAGGAAGGAAGGAAGGAAGGAAGGAAGAGAGGGAAAATGAAATGAGTAGATGAATCCTAAATTTATGGATGTCTAGAGGTAGCATTAGATTGGTAGATTTACTGGCAAATACCTCCTTTCTTTCTTAAACCTCATAGACCTTTATAATAAACTCTCATTAAAGAATCTGAACATAATTCTAGTCCTTGCAAGCTAAAAAAAAAAAAGTTAATAAAGAGAAATAAAAAGCTATCCAGAACATTAAAACAAAATATTAAAATTTATTTAAATTAGTCTGATTTAAAGTGAACTATAAAAATGCTAAGAAACATTTTTTATATCTTATTTTAGTACCTACATTCAACTCTAATACTTAAAGCCTAATCATAAATTACTTTAAAATTAATGAAAAGCCAACATATGTTTTATTATGTGACAATATATTGCTATGTGCTAAATATACATATATATATATATAAGACAATATATGTCCATATGTAGTTAAAATACATATTTAATTATCAAAAGGAGTTTATGATAAAGATATTATTAATACCATCATACCATCATCTCTATCATGTAAATAAGAAAACTGAAGTGTAGAGAGCAGAGAGGTTAAGCAACTTCCCAAGGTCAACTACCCATGCAGTCTGGTTCCAATATCGTGCTCTTAACTATTGCATTGCTTGTATTGTATTTCCCTTGGATACATCAACATCCTCAGATCATACACATTGCCAATTATATGTTCTTAAAAAATTTTTGAAAATTTTGGGGAAATGTTTTTTTGGATATCTCTGAAAATGGAAATCATTGTGACTCTCACTGCCACAGGAATATGCAACAGACTACGAACTCTCCTGGAGAGTGAATGAGGAAATTCTCTCTTCTACTGCATTTCCAACTCTTATCATACGCAGATTAGTCAAAGCAGCAAGAAAACCATTCCAGCTTCACAGTATCAGCCAAGAAAAATCATCCTCAGGACCAGCTGCCAGCAGTATGCCCTTCAGTGTTTGGCCAGGCTGCCAAGGCCCAGCTGTTCTACCAGCCTTCCTTATAGTTTATTGACAAAGAAAAGGCCCAGTTAATTTTTCAAACCAGATGTGTGAGCTGAAACTGATTCACCTGCAAACACATGAATTACTTCTAGAATGCAGAAGTGATAATACTGAAACAATAAATATTCATTAAGAACAGAGCAAAGTGAAATGTTTCCAAACATGGAATTGCTTAGGAAAAATAAATAAGGCAACATTTTAGTCCTTTATATCAGAACTTATTTTGGGTTGGCTAGAGATCAAAGAATGCACTTCATCATGAATAAAATAAGAAATTTCTAATATTAAGGGAAGATAAGGATGGAGATAGAAAAAGCAGAACAGCTTGGATGACTTAAAAACAGATAATAAGTTGCATTTTTATGTAAAATTTGGAGTCTAGAAGGTACAGGATTTGGCACATTCAGTGTGGGAAGAATGGGAGCATAATAAATATTCTCTTGCCATAAGCTGCTTCTTACAAAGCTGGTTTTGATCCCAATTTTTTTTATTCTGGAATTTTTGTTCTATGAATATAAGCACAAATATTATAATTAAATTATAAATACACTAAATTTTATTTGAGATAATATTCTTGAGTTAATTCTATGTTTTTTTTAATTTGAATCAGTTCATTTGTTACTATTTTAAGTATCATTTTTTCATACTCTAAGAATATTAAGAATAGTTATGCAAACAACTATATTTAATAAATATATCTTTTCTGGACATTGGGCTAATCTACTTCGTACAATGCAACATTACAACTTACAATATAGAATACTCAATAAATATTATGTGAGTAAACCTGATGTTTTTTAATGCATAATATTTGATATGTTACATTTGAAATATGTATATAAATGAATTATTTTACACATATAATACTACCAATTTTATTGAGAAATTTCATGAACTTTGTTCACATTAATTTATAAAATGTTCAAACAAAAATATGTAGAAAAGCTTTACTGAGAAATACAAATTTATGTCAAATGCTTATATGTAATATGAATTTGTTTTTATTGAAAACTATATATTTTTATTATTTTTAAAAAATTTAACTTTATTGTTGAAAGCATTATAGATGCCCTCCCTTTTCCCCATTGATTTCCTCCACCCTGCTCCCTACATTTTAATAAAAATGTTTCACTGGCCTCCATTGTTTTCTCTATTCATTTAAAAATAAGAATGCTTTGCATATCAGCTTCTTTGTCTATATCAAGTTTTAATAATTATTACTTCAGTCCTTACATGTCCAGGTTTGCAATATTTTTCTACCAAGTCTTATTATAATGGGTCAAATTTGCAGAAATCAATTTTATTAAGTCAATTTTATTCTTTAATCAATTTTCAGTTAATAGTAAATGTTATAATCTTCAATTTTAGCCATAATAAATTACAATATTTTTAATATTTTAAATTACTTCCTAGATTATTTTTATGGTTTTCCATATTACTAACAATATGAGTTTTATAAAACCTATTTTACCATTTTGGTTTTAAGAATAATGATCTCTATCAATCTGTTCATTCTTTGAAGTTCATATGCTTATTTTTACTTTTTCTTCAGGATCAAAAAGGTAGCATCATAGCATCATTGAGTATTAAGCATTAAGAAAGACAGGAGCTGTTGGATCTGCATCACCACCATTTGTGCACCAACCAGATCTGAAATATAATGGCTGATATGTACACATAAGGAACTATTTGACATTGAAATTGGAACTCAAAATAACTGTTGGTCCAGAAAGGAACTCACTACAGACTGATTCATTTGCCTTTCAGCATAACCATTATGGCTTGTCGCAGTTTAGGTTCTTACAAGGGTATTTCTTGGATCACATGATCTCACACATCTAGGGGAAATAATGAACAACATAAACTGATGAACAAAAACAGACCCAGAGAAAGAGAAACAACGATCACACTCTCAACCTCAGAGGGAAAGTAGGGAAGGGTGGGGGTAAGGGGAAGAGAACAACCAAAGGGGGCATAAATGTGTGCATGCATATGGGCCTCACCAGTGGCCATGGGCAACAGGGGGGCGGGGGCATATGTAGGAGGGGTTTGGGGTGGGAATGGGGAGATGAGGACAATTATGTGATACCATAATTAATAAATTAAAAATAATAATAATAAAATTAAATTAAAAAATAAAGAAAGACAGGAGCAAAAGACAAACTTATGATTGGTCATGAAATCTCCACATTTCTCTTTTTTAATTGAATTTATTTGGAAGAACATTGGTCAATAAAACTATAGTTTTCAGAGTTGAAATTCTACAATACATCATCAGTATTAGAATACAACATATTGTATGTATGCTCATCACCCCAAGTTCCAGTCTCCTTCCATCACTCTTTATTCCCCCTTTGCACATTGCTCTTTACTTTCCCTTATTTAGTTCTGTTAGCTGGTGTGTGTTTTCTCTGTAACACAAAAACTTAAAACATGTAACTTTTTCTTCCAAATAAGAGGTTATATCATAGTGTTCGAGTTGATTACTAATGTACATTTTGTAATATGTCAGGTTAAATATATGACAATAAAAATTGGCAATTAATGAGTAAAGCATCTGAATATTCTGTATCTGAGGTAAATTTTTACATTATAAATGCATAACCTACTATATTTTCTTATAGCTAACCCTTTTTCTCACTCCTACAAGGCTTTCCTTTGCTCGTTGTTTTTAATTTTAGTGCACTTTGAAAGTCCCAGTGTCTGTTTCTGCTATTAGCTTACAAAAACTGTAGGTGATGACTCTGAAAATATGAATGCATATAGCACCTGCCAAAACTTTTTTCCCAAAGTTTCTATGAATACAACAACTAAGGACAGTAAACATGACCTCATCCATCACAGGCTTTAGAACAAGTGCTTCCTCAGCAGCAATTATATCATCATGAAATCATGTTCCACATTCCAACATAACCAATTGCCATATGAATTATATTACTGAGATATTTTTGTAATTTTGTTTTCAATAGCTTCCTTAAAAGTCTTTTCCAAATGTTTCACAATGGAAAAACAAAAATTTCAATTTTTTATTTAATCCACATGAATACTTCAATGAATGTTCAGCAACCAACATATTACACCCTCATGCTTGAATTTAAAACAAACACAAACTTAATTTTCCCCAATGTCACAGTTCAGGACTCACCTGTGGACGTGGGTGTCCAGTGACCAAACAGGTCAATTCTAGGGTTTCTCCTTCTCTTATAGTGTAGACTCTTTCAGAGTAGCGCTCCTCCTCAATATTACAGGCCAACCCTGAGTGCACAATACGAACCGTTGGGGGAGCTGTTGAGTCAGGAAGAGAGAGAAGATACATAAAAAGATAAGTATACTATCTTCCCATGACTCATCCTCATTATAAAAGCAATTCTGATTAGATTTTACCAAAGTAGAGTTTATCAAGTTTACCACTCTTAGAATCAGCAAGGGATTAAGAATTTTGCTGGGCAAAAACTTTGGAATTTATCGAAAAGTCACCAATACATTTTTAATGTGTCAAGGACAAACAAGGTGGTGGACAGAAAACTAGTGACTAAGAAAATCACCATCATTACAAAACTACATAATAAAAATTGATCGTTAAAATGTAAGGAGTTCTTTCCTTTCTGAAATGCAGATTTTAATATAATAAAGGATGTTGCTCAAATACTAGTTAGTGCAAAGGAAAACTATTGGTAAGAAAAAATGAATTTGAAGTGAAGACACTTTCATTTTTCTATCAATTTTATAAGCCCTCTGGAAGCTAAAGAATGAGAAGATTTAGTTATCAGAAATTGCAAGCCACTTAGTTTTCTTTTTTTAAAATATATTTTATTGATTTTTTACAGAGAGGGAGAGGGATAGAGAATTAGAAACATAGATGAGAAACATCTATCAACTGCCACCTGCTGGTGAACCGAGGTACATGCCCTTGATTGGAATTGAACCTGGTACCCTTCAGTCCATAGGCCAATGCTCTATCCACTGAGCCAAACTGGTTAGTGCACCACTTAGTTTTCAATATTTATAGATTACTATACTAAATGATCAAAATATGGTCATTGAATTAAGCCACTGAAGAAGTCAATAAATCATTGATGCCTAAATATAAAATTCTGATTCAAAAGAGATGTAGTTCTCATAAAGCTGACCAATATAAATAATTTTTCTTCTAGTTCAGTGTCCCACAAGTCAATAAAACTTGATGATCACTCATCGGTTCACATATCACTGGAAACCCACCATATATAAAAACGTGCACTTCATGTCATGATAAACTTAAATAAATATTTTCTGTCATCAAGGAGATTACCATCATTTGCTAGCTGCAAATGGGATATCGTCCCTATTTGGGAATGCAGTATTTTTGTTTATAATATAGTTGGGAATGAGAGAGAAAGAGTTATCTTAATTAAAGGCAAGTGGAAAGGCTATATATACCTACAGGTAAGAACAATAGTAAATCTCAAGAATGTCTGGATAGCAATCTCAATCTAAAGAGCAGTATTATTAGTAGAGGCTGTGGTTGCTTACAAATTAATGCAGGCATATTTGAAATTCTTATTTTAACTTTAAAAGTATCATAAATCCTACAGAATTCGATAATAAATAGTGATTTTATGAAAGACATAAAATGATTGTAAGTCCAATTTATGGGGGGGGAACCTTCTGGGAAAATCCATATTTTGAAAATAAAAAGTTTATTTTTTAAATGAATGGCTCAGTGTTTGAGCATTGACCTATGAACCAGGAGGTCATAGTTTTATTCTGGTTAGAGCACATGACCAGGTTATAGGCTCAGTCCCCCAGTAGGGGGCATGCAGGAGGTAGCCAATCAATGATTCTGTCTCATCATTGATGTTTCTATTTCTTTCTCCTTCTCCCTTCATCTCTTAAATCGATAAAAAACACAGTAAGAAAGATTTCACTATGTTAAACTTTATTTTATATGACACAAATATATAGAATACTGAGAGATTTCAATAATAGAAAAGACCATTTTTATTATCCCCTTCAATTTCAAACAGAAACTGAAAGATAGAAAAGCTACTTATGGAGAAAAAAACAAGTGGTTTTTTTCAGTTTCTTTCTGGATACCCAAGTAGAGTCCTATTCTTCAACCTTCAAATTCAGGATTCCACTCTCCAATACCCAACATCAAATGACATATAAATTTCCAACAGTAGGATAAAAATGTAGAGTATGTTTAGAAAGTAGTTTTTACATTCAGTATGCATAATATAATTCCCAGGAACTTGTTTAAAATACAGACTCAGAGATAGACACAGAAACCTGAGTTATATATGTAGAAAACCTCAGGAATCTGCATTTTTACTAAACAGCTGAGATTATGACAGAACTGTGCTACTTAGATCAGATTCTCAGAAATAATTTCCTGGGTGTTCTAAATATTTGTGGACTAAAGAAAAATACTTGAAGGGATAAATAGTCTTTTCTTTTTAACTTTTTTTCAAATAACTGAACTTCATGCTATGCATCATTGCACTGATTTAAAAATTTAAATGATGCTTAAATCAAATGCCTTTTTGGTCTATGGAACCAATTTATCAAAAATTGTCTGCCATGTCTTTGAATACTGCCTATACATTTATTTAGTTTTATAACATTAGAAATCCTTATCTGTAGTGTTTCTCTAGGTATTCTGATATAGTATGTCATACAATGTTCCCTACAACTTATTCCCGAGTGATCACATTTAAACTTCAATTTAGACCAGTGATACTAAGGAGTTACTTATTTAAAAAGATCTGTCCTATACAACTGTATACACACTATAGATAACAAACCGATGAAGTCAATAAACATTCGAAAAATATAAATAGAAAATTGTTTAATAGAAAATATAGGTCCTTTACCTTGAAATATATATCAGTGCCAGTTTTAACTTAATAAGTGATAGCCCACATGTTTATAAATAGATCTAATTATACAGTAACATGACATCCTTTCCAGACAAATTTATACTTGTTATTTTTGTTTTAATTTCAAGTCAATGAGTAGTATTGCTATTTTAAGATGTATCTTTCCAAAATACTATTATGCAAATAAGTAGCTTATTTAAAACATTTAAATTATATAGTCTGCACATTGTGTTTATTTACAAGGGTTAATTTTCTGCTACTTTTTTCTAGATTTTAGCACATTCTTGAAAAGGTAATATAGTATAATTATCATGAAGCTACCACCCATTTTATAGGAGGATGAAGTACTCTCCATTTTATAAGTGTCAAAGATGAATTTTTGCTCCTATGAATTAAAATGTGTGCTAAGTAACTCATATTGGGGAGATAGGGTAAAAAAGTTAAAGGAATTAAGAAGAAAAAAATTCCCAGTTTTAAAAATAGTCAAAGGAATATAAAGTAAAGCATAGGGAATATAGTCAATAATCTATATATATATAAAAGGGTAAAATGCCTTTTATATATACACCGAGTGGCCAGATAATTATGATCTCTGAATACATAATAATCTGGCCACTCAGTGAATATCCTATGGAATAAAAGGTTAATATGCAAATTGTCCCCTTGACCAGGAGTTTGACCAGCAGTCAGGCCAGCCAACCACCCATATAACCACCCCCTGGCCAGGCTGGCCAGACCTCACCCATGCACAAATTCATGTACCAGGCATCTAATACATATATACACTGAGTGGCCAGATTATTATACATTCAGAGATCATAATAATCTGGCCACTCAGTGTATATAAAAGCAAGACAGGAAGTTTGATCACTTGCTATGACATGTGATGACCACCAGGGGCAGCGTAGAACATAACACGTGACCAGTTGTTGCAGCTGAGGGAGCAAGGGAAGGAGGAGATGAACAGGTGAGGAGCAGGAGGATTGGGGGGGAGGGAACCTTGCAGTGTTCAGGAGCTGAGAGGAGGAAGTGGAGAGGCTGAGAGGCAGGGAACCTAATGGCCCTGATCACTGGCCAGGCCTAAGGACCCTACCCATGGATGAATTTCATGCAATGCTCCTCTAGTATTGTAATAACTATTTATGGTACCAGATGGGTACTAACATAATCAAGGTGATCACTTCATAAGGAATAAAAGTGTCTAATCACTATACTGTATACCTCAAACTAATATAATATTGCATGTCAACTGTAACTGAAAATAAACAAAATGTTTATTCAAAATGTTCACTACTTCAACTGCTTGATGATAAGGTGAATATTTTGGAAGCTTCCGTTAACTACTTTGTTCTGCAGAAAATTCAACTTAAAAGGTCTTAGAACTCATCCAGGTACAATGCTATTACTTTCAGATTAGAAGTAAAGTCTGAGAACATGGGGAGGAAACAGGACTTGCTATCCCAAAATATGCCTCTGGGATACTGACCGTTTTAAGCAACAAAGACACAGGGGGGAAATCGCCCTATCTGCCTAAATGAATTTAGGTGGAGTACCAGCCCAGGGAAGGAGACTATCAGCATAGATATCTATTAGTGTAACTGGAGGCCCGGTGTATGAAAATTCATGCATTGGAGGGGAGCATCCCTCAGCACGGCCTGCCCCTTCTCACAGTCCCGGAGCCCTCAGGGTGGGAGGCAACCTGGCAATCAGGGGAAGTTGACACCCCATCACACCTCTGCTGCTGCCACTGCCTGAACTGCAAGCCTCAGCCAACCCTGGTTACCTGAGCCTCGAGCAACCCTGGGCGGCTGGGTAGCTGCCATCTGGGGCTTGCCTGCACCTTGGGCTGGACCTGGGAGGCTGGGAGCTGAAGGGACTGGGGGACTCCAGAGACAGGCACACAGCTTTGCCTTGTGCCTGCCATCCCAGTGGGGATGAGGGAACTGTGGGCCACTGTCTTCGAGGGTATGGCAATCAATTAGCATATTCCCTCTTATTAGATAGGATATAAACTAGTGTGTGATAGATATCGAGGTCTCTCTGTGAACCATTATTAGAGATGGCCCAGAAAACAATTGTTAACCAAGCTTTTGCTTTTCAATCTCCATGTGAAGTGCCTTCCTCTCCTTTGAAGCCCTAAACTACAACAATCCCTTCTCCTTAGTTCAAAATGGCATATAAACCTTAACTCCCTATCTGTCCTAGGGTCTCACATTCTTATCAGACCCTTGTGTGTACATACTTAATAAATTCGGTTATGTTTTAGGATAATTAAGTTAATTAGGATAATCTGTTTTGGGATCATTTGATTACTAATCCAGCCAGAGAGTTTATAATGATAGAAGGAAAATAAATATTTTACCCTGACAACAAGTGACCTAGCTACAGGTTTGAAGCTAGTTGTGGCCTAAATGAGACAAGAAT